AACACCATTATTTTTACTTTCTTTTCTTCCCACGGCTCTCCCACTTGCCCCCACTAGTGCTTGCACTAGTGGTGCTAATATTTCCTACCGTCTAGATCCTTGATCTCGACGGTGCTGTTTGCTTGCACRATTATTCCTTGTGCTTGCTCATGGTTCCCTTGGGACATCCCAAGTCCCCGCCACTTTCCTCCATACTAGTTCCATTTTTTTGTCCCGTCGACGGTCTCGCCGGCGCGTGTTCCGTTTTTTGACTTTTATTATTCGGACCCACTTGGTCCCCGACAACATTGCGGACGGTGTCCCATTTTTATTTTTGGGGCCCTCTTGCCCTTGGTGGTCCCATCATCTCTACATGCGTGCCGATTTTTCTAGGCCGTGAGATCTCATCTCACGGTCACCGTTTACCGTCTTTCTAGCATTTTGGGCTTGTCGTGGCTCATTTTCCTTTAGCCTAGGCATCCCCATGCAGTCCGTTATTTCTCGGACTGCAGTCATGACTATTTTTCTAGTCCCACAGCCCCACAACTTGCCCCATGCTGAAAGGAAGTGAAACGTTAAATTTCTAAGTGCATCCGGGCTCAATATTGGCTCCGGATGCACGAAAAACATGTGTTTCTCCTCCCCCATGTAATCCGTTATTTTTTGGTCGCATGGGGCTTTGATTTTCTTTGATTTTCTCTGCAAAAATCAAAGAAAATCAAAGCCCATTGCAACCGCCATATTCCAGAATGAATCTGGTCACAGATGTATCTCCCCAAGTGACCGTTTTTGACCGTTAAGGCCTTTTTCTCTTTTCTTTTCTTTTCTTTTTTTTTCCTCCTTTCTTAGACAGTAGGGACCTGTCAGTCCCTACTTGTGGCAGTCCCTACTGACGGCCAACTCACTCACTCCCTCTCACTCTTCTCGTCTTATTCTCCTACATTTTCTTTTCTCTTCTCTCTTTTTTCTAGCATGCCAAGCGTCAAGTGGGCGTTAAGGCCCTTTTCTAGCCCCTTCCTCTTTAGTTTTGGCCCTTTCTATGCCCAAGGTGCAGGCCGTTATATCTTGGACTGCAATAATGACCTTCTCATGCCCATGGGAGCTTCCCTTTACTTCTATTTTCCTCTCATAGTAGCCCCTCCTACTCCGATTTTGTCCCAGGGGGCTATTTTTCACATGGGGTCTCTTTTGACTCCATTTTCTTGAGGGAGGCTGATCCGAGATTTTTCGGATTGCTCCCATGCCTCCCACCTCAAGTTTCTTGACTTTTTCTTTTCTTTTCGGCCTTCCCGTTTGCTACCGCTAGTGCTTGCACTAGTGGTGCTAATATTCTTGGCCGTCAAGATCTTGATCGACGGTGCACCTTGCCTTTATTATTTTCCCTTATGCGGTGCCACCATTTCTTCTCGGGACTTTCACATGTCCCCGCCATCCGTCCCGGCGGCGGTCCCCAACACTTAGTCCCACCGATGGTCCCCGACACTTAGTCCCACCGGCGGTCCCTGCTCCGCGAGTGGTCCCCGACACAGTTCGCCCCGGATGCCATTATTTTTTCTTAGTCCCACGTGGCCCCGGGTGCCTTTCCCCGAGGTGTCCCACATCCCTTGGGAGTTTTGCCGCCCCACAGTGACCCTTCTCCCTTGTTATTATTGCGCCTTGCGCGTGCCTATTCCTTTGGTCGCGGGGCCTCAAACCCGAGGTCCCCGTAGGTGGCCCCCATGTTGGGTTCTTGTTCTCTCGTTTCCCACGACCTCCGGGCCGTCCATCTCTCGACTCCCTCATTCCTTTGTCGCTGTCGTGCCGCGTTTGCTGGTTCGAAGGTCCTTTGGCCTTAGTCATGTTGAGTTCCAATGGCCCTCCCGGCCTCATGCTACGTCCTATATGCCCCTGCTCCTGCGCTTATTCTCGTGTCGTCGCTGTTTTTTTCCTCCTGTGGTTCTCACCCTAGGACATCACTCCCTCCTGTGGCCTAATCCTTTGTCTTTTCTCTCTCCTCCCTTCTTACTCCAGATTTCTCTGTTGTGCACAATTCGTCTATATCAGTCTCTTGAGTGATGGGAGGTTATTCGGGACTCACCAGTCCCGACTCCGACACCTTGGACTCACAGACTTCTGGAGCAGCACCTCCGACATGGACATCAAGACCAGTCTGCGACCTGCTATCCGGATCAGACCTCATCATCAAATCGTGTACCGGACGCAACTTGCTACTGGGACAATCAAGTTGAAGCCCTCGCCGTCTACATCACAAAACCGCTAAAGGCTGCTTCCTCACCGCCACTTCTGCAACACCCTCCAAGACCCTCCTCAAAACATGTTTTCGCTTTTGACACCCTGTTACAAGACTGAGACGTTGTTTTCCCAGACCCCTCAGACACCCCAACACTTCAGCATTGAACAAACAATTTTATTTTATTTATTTTTCTCAAACCGACAACCTATAACCTTGTAAGAACACCAATAGGACTGCCCTGTTACTTGTCGAACCTCAATAGGATTACCATATGACCCGAATATTGCTACTCTCACTCTTGTAGAACCTCAATAGGATTACCCTGTTACTTGAGCATTGATTCCCTCATCTTCGTAGAGCCTCAATAGGATTACCCTGCTACTTGCATCACTCCCCTTTTCCTTTTCTGACCAGTGATCGGCCCCGTCCCGTCCTTCACAGTTGTTCACTGGGTCTTTGGCAGCCGGGACGTTGCCCTCCAAAGGGAGGGGATAGTGTTACGGACCCAGCGAGGGCTCGATCCCTGGTCCGCGGGTTACCACCCGCCAGGCTGCTATTTCTTTTTTTTTTTAGTCTGTTCTGCGGTGCCTGACTGTTGGCGCCCTCTCCATCTGGCGCCCGTTCTCAAATCCCGCCTCTGGCACTTTCGGATTTCGATACTTGGCGCCATCCGACATTTTGGCGCCCAGGCTCAGACCTTCAATTTTCAGTTTAGCCCCGAGGCAAATTGCACTTCTGCCCTCCGAACTCAACTTCTGTCCGGTACTTAAGACCGGACTCGAGCTGAGTTCGGGGGATTCGGTTTATGCCTCAGTGCTTGTGCTTCAGTGTGACTTGCAGACATTGTGTTCGGAATCCAAGATTGCAACTTTGAGACTTTGCGACTGCCACTCCGTGTCTGCGTCCGTCGAGTCGTGTCGAGTCCGTGTCGAGTTGAGTGAGTGTGTGTGTGTGCTCTCAGTCCCTCCCTCTCTCTTCCCCTACCTCGCTGCTCTGCCTCAGCCCCATCACAGTCCAGCCAGCGTCGAGCCAGCGTCAAGCCAGTGACCAGCTAGAGTCAAGCTAGCGTCGAGGCAGCATAGCAACACTGAATGTTGACCTCCTGGAGACCAAGCCTTATGTAGTGTTTGACGAGGCAGTCTGGATTGTACTGTTGCAGACTCCCCTTAGTCCTGATGCTGTCTGGGTACCTGCATACAAACAAGTGTGAGCGTCTGACCGGCGGCCCGGCTGGGTCCATTTTGACTTCGACTGTTGGACGTCGGGCAGTTGACTTTGGTAAACTGTTGCCCGCTCAGGCCCTGAATTCTCGTAGGGGTCTTTTCTCTTCCCCAGCCGGGGTCTGAGTCGTGGCCTGGCGAGGCCCTTAGACATTCCACGAGGCATACTGCATGGGTTGTTGCAATAGCAACCATGAATTTTCTCCACCCCAATAAGTCGCCAGCGAAGTAGCAATGAAACTTCTCCTCCCTTCCCGAACTGGCACTGATATGGCACTACCAGTTCCCAAGGGCCTTCCAGTCACGGGTGCTGATCTGGCTTGTGCCAGATCAGCAGGTCCTGTCAACCACCACGAGGAAGAAGATGAACTTCGATGAAGAGGATGAAGGCTCCTAATCAGCAACGGCCACTTGAAGTAAGAGTGGTGTCCTCAAACCTTCCAAACAGCAGCGGGATGGTAGTGGCACCAGAACCTGGAAGACCTCCCACAGGCGCTGCCTCCCCAAGTAGCAGGGCGCCCCCAGCTATGGCAGCCCACGCTCCCCCAAGAGGAAGAAGACGGAGAGCTGAAAATAGCGCAGCTCCCCTGACCCTCTTCCCCAATTCCCAATTCTACCTGACATCCTGGACCTAGCACACAGCAACTGCCTACGGTCTTATCTGACCGTCCAAGCAGTACACATCTACAGCTATGCACCAACATGCATTTAGACAGGATACGGACCAACCAGTTTCCAGAAGTGCAGAAAAGGACAAAAACAGCCTAACCTACGTGAGCAAGGAAAAGTCCCTCTAAGGGACAGGTCGTGGGATCAAGTCCCACAGCACTCGAAACAGCAGCACCACACTTTTCTTCTTCTTCTTTTTTTTTTCTTTTTTTTTTTTGGTTTTGGTGTGTGTCGCGCAGACAAGGGCCGTTGAGCTCTCAGCTAGAATACAGCCCGCTGAAACTGCAATTCATTGCAATGTCCTGCATGGCAGCTCAAGTTTGGCTGCGTTTTTTTCCACATTTTTGTTGCTGGATAGAGGTCTCCTCTCACCTGCCTCTTACTTATTCAGCTGTGCACACCGGTCTTAAGATGCTGGCACACACCTCGCTCCAGGAGCACGATGTTATTTGTACATGAACTCGTCATGAAATGTCAACCGAAGTTGGACTTTTGAAACATCTGTGGAAACCTCTGTCGACATGAAACTGCTGATGGGTCCATCTCTGGCTGGGCAGTTCGCGGCTGTACGTCAGCATCTGAAGGGAGGCATCCTGTGGGCCGTTCTGTAGGATGCATGAGGAGGAAGTGTTGTTGGTGTTGGTGTTGTTGGTGTTGGTGTTGGTGTTGTTGGCGTTGGCGGCGGCGGCGGGTGTTGTTGGCATTGGCGTTGGCGGCAGCGGGCGTTGTTGGTTTTGTTGGCGTTGGCGGTGGCGGCGTTGGCGTTGTTGGCGGCGGCGGCGGCGTTGGCGTTGTTGGCGGCGGCGGCGGCGTTGGCGTTGGCGGCGGCGGCGCGTTGTTGTTGTTGGCGTTGGCGTTGGCGTTGGCGGCGTTGGCGGCGTTGGCGTTGGTGGCGTCAGCGTTGGCGTTGGCGGCGTCGGCATTGGCGGCGTCGTTGTTGTTGGCGTCGTTGTTGGCGGCGTCGTTGTTGTTGGCGTCGTTGTTGGCGGCGTCGGCGTTGGCGGCGTCGGCGCTGTTGTTGGCGGCGTTGTTGTTGGCGTCGTTGTTGGCGGCGTCGTTGTTGGCGGCATCGTTGTTGGCGGCGTCGTTGTTGGCGGCGGCGTTGTTGGCGGCGTGGTTGTTGGCGTGGTTGTTGGCGTTGTTGTTGGCGTTGTTGTTGGCATTCTCGGCGTCGTCGTCGGCGGTGGCATCAGCGGCTCGTCGGCGTTGTTGTCGGCGGCGGCGGCGGCGTTGTTGTCGGCATCGGCGGCGTTGTCGGCGTCGGCGTTGTCGTCGGTGGCGGCGGCGGTGGTGGCGGCGGCGGTGGTGGCGGTGGTGGTGTTGGCGGCGGTGGTGGCATTGCGGTGTTGTTGGCGACGGTGGTGGCG